CTCCCCACACCACAGTCGTCAAAAAGTCTAGGGACACCACTGATAGCAATGCCTTATTGAGCAGGCATTGCAGGGCTGTTAATATGTGTTATTCTCCACTCAAAACTGCTTTAAATAGTACAAAAGATGTGTGTGCTACATAAAATGTATGCTTTGAGTTTACTTTGAGTATCTAAATAGATGTATGAATTTATATTTGTACATAAATGTGATAAGTGCTATGGAATATATTGGCTTGTTTTTTTAGTTCTGTGGTTATTACTCATTGGTCACATCAAGCCTTTTTTGTTAAAGTATTTCTGTGGAAAAAAATTGCTTATATCATCAATTGTGATTACTTTGTAATGATACTATTTGCTTTTTGGTGCAGTTTATTTGTGAATAGAACATTTTTGCCAGTGAAAAATGATTGCGAATCGACAGCAGGCAATTTGAAGTGTTTTATGTCTAAGCAAAGATACCTTATTCATCCTCCTTCAAAAGCTTCAAATATGTTGGATGATAATTGTTGCTCTCTACTTCTGCTTTGTAAATGCCTGGAAAATAGGTTTTAAAGTCAGTGTTAAAAATACAGAACTCGGTACCCCTTAAAAAAAGGTCCAAGAGGTTCTATTTGGACAGTAGATCTAAATACACAGAAGTGTATCCAAACACAAAACAAAAAAGTAATATATTTGAGCTTACCTGCCCTTAGATGTGGTTGCTTCATTAGCTTCAAGACTTTTTTCCTTTATTTTCACCTGGCGATCCTGTCAGTACACTCTTATTGCCCTAGGGTGACAACGCTCATTCCTCCACTGTATCTATGGAGCAGCAGTGTGGTCTGCTCTCCTGACTTGAACTGCAAGCATGTCCTCCTCCCTTCATTACCATTACATGTGGAGCAGGGAGCAATAAAATTGTTTGAGATTTTATTTCAGCACACAGGAACTGACAATAAGAACACTACATTTCCGTCAAGATTTCTGTACTTGCTGAATATGTACTCGGCCTGCAATAATAAAAGAAAACTAATGCCGGGCCAACATAAATAATTGATGTTATACACAACGTAGATTTGCGCTGTGGATACACTCAATAGTATAAATAACCAAAAAGCTGCTGTGCTCAGTGTATGCAGACACTCATAAATATGAATAAACAGTGTACTGCGCTAATCAGATAAATAAATGAAAATTATATGTATACCAATAATACAAAATCTATATAAAAATATAATCCCTCAATCAATTGTCAATTACTAAATGAATAATTTAGTAATTGAATATTGATTGGGGGATTATATTTAATATAGATTTTGTATTATTGGTGTACATTTAATATAATTTGTATTTATTTATTTATCTAATTAGCGCAGTGCACTGTTTATTAATATAAATAATTGATAAGCTGCAATATATTACATTTTTGTTCTTGTGTTTAGATATATTTTAATACTACCACCATGACTTTGCGGGCCAATAAGAGTTCATCCCTCTCCTTCAATCCTCCAGCCACCAATTGCCAACAGTGCTGCCTATACTTGTATTGGGACCTAAAGGACGGTGGAGAAGGAGGGTCTCATCAAGGACTCTATGAGTAAGTACTTGGTGACATGTTTAACTTCCTCCAGCAGCAGTGGCAATTTCAACACACAGTTATGGACCCTTCTGGTATCCGCCTTCACTGTGGGCACACAACACAGATTCTTTGGAATTGGTGAAGTGATTTGTAACCCTTAAGATCATGTCAAACTAGCAACCTTAGAGCAACCACAAATCTCTCAGTTTAATTTCTCTGAAAAGTCATAGCTGGGTTGGTACTGTAGTTGTCTACAATGGGAAAACATTTGACTGGGGTGACTGGCTTGCTTGAATTTTGGCTAGACATAATGGGTGCCAAACCAAAAGGTGAAAGAGTCAAAAGTTGCCCCTGAGTATTAATAAGTTAACCCGAGGAAAGCAGCCAATGCATTTCAAGTAGAAACTACAAAGGCTCAGGATGAGATAAGGACTTGAATGGACACAGACGGTACTATAACCAAATAGATCTATATATGTCTTAGTATAAACTCTCCTTTTTGGGCTGTAATTGTAATTGAGTACTCAGCAGCAGCAGTGAGCTTAATTGCAAACTTCCCTGCACCTGGTTGATTTGAATACACACACAAAACACCAGCACCTTTTAAATGTGTTTCTTTAAAGTTCCTTTAATTTTGGAGCCAGCATTGTCAGGGCTGTTCCTCAGGCATTACCTCCATTGCTTTGACCCACTTGGTAGCTAATCCTTCTCTCCCTAGCACTGTGCTTGTTTCAGTGTCTTCTAGTCCATTAGGTAGGGTCCAGCCCAGGGTCTCCTATGAGGACAGTTGAAGCATTACACCTGCAAGGGGCCTGGGCATAAATGTGTTGGTATGAGACCTTGTCATCCAAAATTTACCTCACCCGCAAAGTAGGGACAGGTGCTGCTGCTAAGACACAGGAAAGTTTTCAGACAGCAGATCTCAGACAGACAATTAAATAGGTAATTTCATCATAAAAAAATATTTTAGTGACACTTTAACCTGACAAGAAAGATTAACTCTACTCAGAAACCCTGTATCTTAAGTCCAAGTTTACTGGGAATGTAATGAAAATAGAGAAGAGGATGCACATGAATGATGAATTCACAAAGTTTTTGGAATGCTTAATGTGACCCATATGGGTATTTCAATATAAAATATTGCAAAAATCTGCTAACATTTACTCCCTTCAAGGGCTACGGTTGCTGAAAAATCCAAAATTCTCTCAAAGAGAACGGGGCGTGGCAGCCTGGTTTTTCCAATACTTCAGTTTGCTGCAGGGTTACTTTAAAAGGGTAAGACAAAAAACTGTTACCGGTATTTGCTGCCTGTTCTGCCTGTAGAACTTCCCCATCAATTACAATGATGGCTGACTCAAACAATCAGAGGGATCCGGAGAAACTGAGTAAGCTCACTAATACAAAAATAAAGTCTAAATCAAAGTGGAATTTCTGGCCTTTCCTACTGTAATGTCAATAAAGAGAA